TTGATATAAACCTTAACGTTCAAATTATTGATGTACAGTAGGGTCTCAATAATCCGAACACAGGCTAATCCGAAAGACGCAGTAATCTAAACGAGCTTAARAATTATCTTATCGCCATACTATGTACATATATATTATTATATTTATAAAAAAATATTTTCTAGTAATAAAATTTTTCAATTATTTGGGACAGGCATATCAATCCATAATAGGAACCCATTAACAAAAAAAAATTAATCAATATTTTAAATGTGAAAGTTCATAACTATGTAAATATTTTTATATATTCAYTGTCTTTTGAAAATACAAGTTTTTACACGATTAATAAAAATAAAATTACAATTTCATATTTTAAATTACAATTAAATTGATGTTTTTTTTAAGCCATAAGTAATCTAAATGACCCCTTTCCTCAACCTCATTCGGATTATCGAGACCCTACTGTATATCAAAAATATTAAATATTCACCAAATTAGAAGCTATATTTAGCAGTTTAAAGACATTTGTTCGTATTTCTTAAAATTCTACTACAAATTAAAGTTTTTATGCAAATAAATTTATTGTTGAAAATTATTTATAGTATTGTCGTTTGGATGGTCAAACACCTCATGAAGATCGCCAACGTCAAATTAATGAATACAACGAACCGAATAGTAAAAAGTTTGTTTTTATACTTTCTACGCGAGCTGGTGGCTTAGGTATTAATTTAGCTACTGCAGATGTTGTTATTATATATGACTCTGATTGGAATCCTCAAATGGATTTGCAAGCGATGGTTTGTATATTTAATACTTTTACAACTAAACAAATAATTAATTATGTTTTTTAACAGGACCGAGCTCATAGAATTGGACAAAAAAAACAAGTGAGAGTATTTCGTCTTATTACTGAAAATACTGTTGAAGAAAAAATTGTTGAAAGAGCTGAAGTTAAATTAAGGTTGGATAAATTAGTTATTCAACAAGGTCGCTTGATAGATAATCARAAAAATACTCTGAATAAAGATGAAATGTTAAATATGATCAGACATGGTGCAAATCATGTTTTCCAATCTAAAGATTCTGAAATTACAGATGAAGATATTGATACAATTTTACGGAAAGGCGAAGAAAAGGTAGATATAATAATTGAAGTATAAACCATTATTTTATTATTAGAATTCTTTGATGTGATGACTAAATTTGTTAGCATGAAATTTTTCAGAATTTTAAAGTTGTGTTAGGGGTTTAATTGTGTTGTTTCATCAGTTTAAAATAGTAATTTATGTTATTTAGACAGAAGAAATGAAACAAAAGTTAGAGTCTTTAGGAGAGTCATCTTTGAGAAACTTCACATTAGATGCTCAAACAGAATCATCCTTGTATACATTTGAAGGAGAAGACTATAGGTATGTTATATAGTATATAGTATAATGATAATTTCATGATTCAAGTGCTAGATTTAATTTKACTTATTATTTACAGGGAAAAACAAAAGTTAACTGGTATCGGAAATTGGATAGAACCACCAAAACGTGAACGTAAAGCTAATTACGCTGTTGATGCCTATTTTCGTGAAGCACTCAGAACATCTGAGCCCAAACAGCCTAAAGTAATAAAAAATAAAATAATATTATATATTGTATTTAAGTTGATTTCATATGAATGTACATTATTTATAATATGTATGTTCGTATTTACTTTTATTATTAACTTTAACATGTATATTTTAACATTTTTGTAGGCACCTAGACCGCCAAAACAACCATTGGTTCAAGATTTCCAGTTTTTCCCTACGCGTTTATTTGATTTACTTGATCAAGAAATTTATTATTATAGACAAACTGTTGGATACAAAGTAAGTTAAGATTTATAACAATTATAACTATATTAGCGAGAACCAGATGATGCAAATATCTTAAGCATTGACCTCATAACAATCATTGTGTCTATTTTATTTTAGTTAGCAATGTTAGTTAGCAATATGTAAAACATTAGACTAGCTTAATTATGAACCAAAACTAAWCACAGGATATASATCGATTTTTAAACATAAACAATTTCAGTTAAATTTATTAAAAAATGTTTGATTGTAACAGGTACCAAAAAATCCAGAATTAGGYGCTGATGCAGCTAAAATACAGAAAGAAGAACAAAAAAAAATTGATGAAGCTCAACCACTTACTGAAGAAGAACAAGCAGAAAAAGAAGTTTTATTAACAAAAGTAAATAATCTGGTTTTTACGATAGTATAACTTTAATTAATTTTTTCTGGTTTTTAGGGATTTACAAATTGGAATAAACGTGATTTTAATCAATTTATTAAAGCTAATGAAAAATATGGCAGAGATGATATTGATAATATATCAAAAGAAGTAGAAGGTATATATAAGCTAGATGGTCTATTAGACTAATGATTCTGGTTTCTCAATAAGTCGATCCAGTATCTAAATAAAAAAAATGTTTATATATTTTAATTTAAGGTAAAACCGCTGAAGAAGTTAGAGAATACAGTGCTGTATTTTGGGAAAGATGTAATGAGTTCCAAGACATTGATAGAATTATGGGACAAATCGAAAGGGGAGAATCTAAAATACAACGCCGAGCTAGCATTAAAAGAGCTTTGGACGCTAAAGTATTGTATTTTTAGTAATTCTTTCWAAAGTTTTGTGTTATACCTTTTCTCAATATGTTATGTTCCAATAGATGACTAGGTATAGGGCTCCATTTCATCAATTGCGCATTTCGTATGGAGCAAACAAGGGAAAAAATTATACTGAAGAAGAAGATAGATTTTTAGTTTGCATGCTTCACAAACTGGGATTTGATAAGGAAAATGTGTATGAAGAATTAAGAGCTGCTATAAGGTAAGGTCAGGTTAGGAATATAGAAAATGCTAGTGATGTTGTCATTATAGAAAGATAATATTAGAAATTACTATTTACATTTGGAAACATTATTGTACATTCTAAATAATTCATTTAGCTGTTTAGTTACATTTTAAAGAGTTTAGAAGTGAGTTTATTATTAAGTCTATTAATAATTTTTTTTATCTATTTTAGATGTGCTCCTCAATTTAGATTTGATTGGTTTATAAAAAGTCGCACTGCTAATGAATTGCAAAGACGRTGCAACACTTTAATTACATTAATAGAGAGAGAAAATCAAGAATTAGAAGAAAAAGAAAGAGAACAAAAAAAATTACTTAAAAAGAATTTGAAGCCAGCACCATCCCCAGCTCCAGTAAAAAAAAAAGCTGACAAGGTTGATAAATCTGATGTTGGAGATCCTAAATCACCAGTTCCAAAAAAAAAGAAAAAGTAAATTATCTTTATACAGCATGCAAGTTTTTTTTTTTTAGTTTAGACATGATAATTGCATTTTCTTGGGTAACCATAAGTTTTGTGAACATTTTTCATATGAATTAAAATTTGAAAGAATATGTGTACTATTTTTTTACAATATTTTTGTGTTTATTAAGTAACATTTGACATTTCTTTGTGTTGTAATATAATTTGTATGCTTATTTCATATTCATTTTCATCACCTTTATATAAATATTACTTTAAAACTATAAATGTATACTTTTTATATGTTGTGCTGGTTTTCACTTCAACAATTAATTTTTATTAAAATAATTTCACTTTATTTTTAAATTTAGCTTTTAGTAAATAWTTTTTTGTATTCTATCAATCACAATAAGAGAATCTGAAATATATAATTTAGTTAAGTGTACACGAACACAGTATGTATGATTTATTTTAAAACAAAAATTGCAAACATATTTGATAGGTTTATATAAGATAAGTTTCTATTAGTTTTTCATACTAACTATTATTGAATTTTAAAAGTAGAAGTAATATACAACACTGCATTTCTATAATTTTTGTATTTTTTTCTAGTTATCATTCATAATAATAATAAAAAAAAAAAAAAAAAAAAAAAAAAAAACAATATAGTAAAAGCTTTGAGTAAATGTTTTTATTAGACATAAAAATCACTTGCTGATAGAAATAATCATATTCAACTATATATATATTGGAATGAATAAAGAGATTATACTAATGATATGTTTATTTCAAACAAATATTATTGTAATGTACCAAATATATTATAAGTGACATACTCAATGAATTTTTGAATTGATTATATTCCATAATTTATTAATATTGAATAGGATGAAGAACAAATGTTGATTTATAATTACATATTTTAAATCAATTGAACAATACCCCTTTTAACGAATTCGGCAATCGAACTATAAGGCATCAAATGCTGAGAACCATCTTCCAGTACTATTTCTTCTTCCTGGCCTTCCAATGTATTTTTGATAATAACACTGTCTATATGCTTGTTACATTTTAAAAAAACAAAACTATTTAAATTGGGTTCGATAATTTTTTTATTTCTATCCAAGTTGTTGTATAGATGGGGCATATGCCGGAGTATAGTGTCGAAATGATTGTCGGCATTCAAAGCAAATTCTTTAGCAAATTTCAACTCTGCAGGTGATAAATAAGCATCTTCTTCTGAGCGAGTGGCTTCTTCTTCAAGCACACTCACACAAAAACTTTCTATCTTCTTCAACCTAGTTCGCAAGTAACTAGTTATAACAAATTTAATACGTTCTAATTCAAGYTTGTGCAGGTCTACTTTTGGATCAGTTTTTGATAATTTGGCAAGGTTTCCTTCCATACCTTTGATTTGTTCTAACAAACAATCAACATAGTCTGTCTGGTGAGGCAGTATTTCTGGACTAAATTTTTCATTTAGCCAAGCCCGTTCAACATTTTGTAATACCTTCTGAGCAGTCATTTCTTCTTGATTATCCTCATCTTCTTCGTCTATCAAATCRCGGATATCAATGTCCATAATAGTTCTAAAATAAAAATGGATATAGATCACTGGGTGAAAAATACTTAATGTATATTAACAAATAATAACTAATTACAATATGCTGTTTAATATTTTGTATGTTTATTTAAGAAATTTTAAACAAAGGAAACAACATTTTTTTTTATTATTATTATTATTAAAGTACATTGACAATATAAATAGTATTAACATAAAGAGTGTTTTATAATTATTAATGATTATGAAGCTTTAATACTATCAATAAGTGGACCTTTAAGTTTTTTCATTTTGTGTACACCATCTGGATCTAATTTAAATATACTATCGATAACAGAAATTTCTGTTGATGTAGTATCTGTACCACAAACAGCACACCAATCATTCACAACCATACCAGCTCCTACAACGTCTGAGCCACGGTTTACTGTTCCAGCGACAAGGGGAACTTGAATCAGACCAGACAATTCATCAAGGTCTTCCACTGTAGTTTTAGGATGTACTAATCCTCCTTGATTAGATATAGCGCAGTATGAACCTACTAAACAATTGGATGCCACAGTTTGTCTGTATACTTCAACATTTAAAGTATCTGAAAGTATCTCTTCTGTATCCTTATCCAAATCAGGATGAACTAGTGCTACATAATCATTGCACACCATTAMATTTCCAAGCGCAGATAAACGTTCTTCCACACGCTGTACCTTGACATTGTCGGGCAACGAATTGCGTATATGTTGCAATTCAGTGTCAGTAGTAGAATTAGGTAATAGTAACCCATTTTTGTTGCCAACTGTCATACGACCAACAATGCGACATCCAGCAACAGATGCATGGATAACAGGTATGATATCAGATAATTCTGATTCAAATACACTGTAAAATGTTTCCGAAGCACCAATTCCAACCAAACAATAGGAATTTGTCAGCTTGCTGAATACCCCTATTTCGTTGTTGTTTTCAAACTGTGCTCGGACTGCCATTATTGTATTATAATATATTCCCAACTAATCCTGTATACAAAAATTGGCATGTGTCACAAATCAGAATAAATATTATATTTCTTAAAATTTAGCTGTTAAATTATCAATATAGACCATAAATAATAATTAGTAACATTTTTAGTCCTATCACAAGGTTCACAGCATTTTTTTATGTGAATCAGACAAGATTTTGAYAAAATTAAATTAATACACAATTGCTGAACATTTAGACTAATTCACATGAAAAACATTAAGTTGTATAAATATTGTATTATTAATAATTCTATCTCTATGATAATTTATATTTTACAATACCTATCAACAACAGTTACAATTTTAACTTAAAAACTACTTT